TAATTTGGAAAAGGATAGTGAGAATAGCAGCACAACTGGAAGAATGTAATTGATGTCACTGAATTGTACACGTAGACACTTTTGAAATGGTGTAACTTTGGCTAGGTATATTTTCACCAAAATCCTCCAAGGTCCAGAAGGGAGAGTGTTGACAAGTCGTGCAGTTGTTAACCAATGTCATAAAACCATATGTGTACTGACTGTTTAATGAGAAACTATTTGCTCTGTAAACCTTCCTCTAAAGTACAATTAAAAATTTTTTTTTTAAAAAAGGACATTAAAACTCATTTTATAGAACATTAAAAAAATAACATTATATGACAAAATTTATAAAATGATCCAAGAACTGGTACTTTGAAAAGAAAAATCAAGTAGATTTACTTTTTTTTTAAATTGTGGTAAATACTTATGCAATGAAACATTTGCCAGTTTAACAGTCTTCACATGCATCATATAGAGAAATAAATTGTATTCATCATGTTGTAACCATCACCATTATCTGTTTCCATCTTTTTCCATCACCCTTAATAGAAGCTCAGTGTCTCTTAAGCTTTTCCCCTTTACCTCTCCCTCCCCCCAGACCCTGGTAACTACTAATAACCTTTGTTCTGTATACATCTGCCTGTTCTATATAGCTCATACAAGTGGAATCATACAATATTTGTCCTTTTGTGACTGACTTATTTTACTCAGCATGATGTTTTCAAGGTTCATTCACTTTGTAGCATATAGCAGGGCTTCATTTCTCTTTATGGCTGTGTACTATTTCATTTATGTATGTACCATATTTTGTTCATCCATTTGTTTATTGAAGGACATTTAGGCTGTTTCCATCTTTTGGCTATTGTGAATACTGCTGCTAAGAACACTGGTGTACATGTATCTGTTCGGTGTTCCAGCTTTCCATTCTTTTGGGTATATACCTAAGGATGGAATTGCTAGATTGTATGGTAATTCTATGTGAAAGTTTTTGAGGAACCTCCAGACTGTTCTGAACAGTGGCTGTTCAATCCCACTAGCAATAAATAAAGGTTCCTATTTCTCCACTTCTTCGCCAACATTTGTTGTTTTACATTTTTTAAATCAGGGCCATCAAGTGGGCATGAAGTGGTATTGTTGTGGTTTTGATTTGCATTTCCCTAATGATTACTGATATTGAGCACCTTTTCACGTGTTTGTTGGCCATTTGTATATATTCTTTGGTAAAGGTCTACTTATGTCCTTTGCCCATTTTTTATTGGGTTGTCTTTTTGTTGTCCTGTTGTAGGAAGCAGGTTTACTTTAGAGTAATCTAGTTGAGAAGAAAGAATCCCTGAGTGGTGCAAACAGTTAAGCACTTGTCTACTAGCCCAAAGGTTCAAACCCATCCAGAGGTGCCTCAGAAGACAGGCCTAGTGATTTGCTTTCGAAAGGTCACAACCCAGAAAACCCTATGGAGCAGTTTTAATCTCCACACACGGGGTTGCCATGAGTCCGAATCAACTAGATGGCCCTAATAGTTGAGAGAGGGAAAAAAAATTAAAATTTGAGTAGTACTATAAACGAAGAAATGGTAAGTATACACACATCTACGACAATAAATTTTTTGTGCTAATAAATTTTGAAATCTGAATGAAATGGGCAATTTCCTAAGAAAAATAAATTATTAAAACTGATCTAAAGAAGAAAATGTTAGTAGAACAAATAGTGGCAGATTGAAAAGAATAGAAATAAATTATCTTTAAAATACTCTTCAGTGGCAAATAGTTTTACCAGGGAGAATTTTCTAGGATATAAAGGGGATAATTGGAATGTTACTCCCATTAATTTTATGAAGAGTATATAACTCTCCAATTAAACCTCACAAACAGCACAAAACAGAAAGTCAGGTACCAATTTCATTTATAAATATAGACAGGAAAACTCTAAATAAAATTAATAAACCAAATATTACAGGGCATTAATTTTATCTTTCTCATGGACAACATATACATTCCCAAGAATGCAAAGAGTTTGGCAGCAGGAAAGCATTTCATAGGTCACCACATTTTTAAAAGGTCAAAGGGGAAAAAATATAGAAACCTCAATAAACGCTGAAAATGCAGGAAGAGGCCAACTCTAAATGTATTCAATTGGCTGGAGGACTCAACTCTTAGGAAATCAAAATTAGAAAGATTAATGCTTCAACATGATAGAGAATGTCTTTTGTAAATAAATGCTAATCAGGATCCACAAAGTTTGCTAAAATGCTATCACAGTTAATATCTAACACTGTTGTGCAAATTCTCTAAAAAGTAATAGAAATATAAATCAGAAACATGAGAGTTAATGTGTTGGAAAAGAAGAGCCAAACTCTCTTAATGTCCTAAAAAATGGTAATATGTATTAAGAAGACACATGAGAATAGCTATGAAATACTTAAAATGAGTTAAGAGGGTCAGAATCACTTCAAAACATCTGTGGAGGAACTCATCTTCATTTCAGGCTTTAATGAATTTTAGAACCAAGATAAAATGTTCTGAAACTAGATTATGGTGATGGTTGCAGAATTCTGTGTATTTACTAAGAATCATTGAAATATACACTTAAAATTTTTAGGTTTTATGGTATATAAATTCTACCTCAAGAACTTGTTTTTTAAAAAACAACAACAGCAGCATATCATTTGTGGTCTGTTAAGTGAGTCCTGGAAAGAACTAATGACATTCTAATTTCAATTGCTGGTTAATGCAAACTTGTGCCACTTATTGTAATGGGCAAAGTGGAACTATCTACTTAAATCCTGCTTAGATATGAGTTTCTTTTTCCAAAATGTTTTCTGCTTACCTATCTGTGAACCCCATAATATTAATCAACAGATCTAAACAACTACATTCTTTTTATACATATAACATTTTCACTGAGATATAATTCACAAATCATACAATTTATCTATTTAAAATAAAATTCAATGGTTTTTAGCGTATTCACAGATACATAAAACCATCACCACAGTCAATTTCGGAGCATTTTCATCACCTAGAAAGGAAACCCCATAGCCTTTGGGTGTCACCTTCCTATTCTCACACTGATCCCCAGCCCTAAGCAACCACTAATCTATTTTCTATCTCTACAAATTTGCCTATTCTGGACATTTCATATAAACAGGATTATGCAGTATGTAGTCTTTTGTGACTGGCTTCTTTCATTTAGCATAATGTTTTTAAGTTTCAACCATGTTGTAGCATGTACCAATATTTCATTCCTTTTTATGGCTGAATATATCACATTTTGTTTATCCTTTCATCAGCTGATAAGACATTTGGGTTGTTTTCACCTTTTGGCTATTATGAATAATGCTGCTATAAACATTTGTGTACAAGTTTTTGAGTGAACACAGGTTTTTCATTTCTCTTGGGTACATACCGAGGAGTAGAATAGCTGGGTCATATGGTAACTTTATGTGTAACCCTTTCAGGAACAGCCAGACTATTTTCTGAAGTGGCTGAACCATTTTACATTCCCACCAACAGTGTACAAGAGTTCTGGTTTCTCCACATCCTTGACAACATCTGTTATTCTCTGCCTCTTTTATTATAGCCATCCTAATGGGTATAAAGGATGGCCATCTTAGTGGGTGTTAAGGATGGCGAGACTGTCTTGTATACTTTGGGCATGTTATCGGGAGAGACCAGTCCCTGGAGAAGGACATCATGCTTGGCAGATGGTCAGTGAAAGAGAGGAAGACCCTCAACGAGACTGACTGACATAGTGGCTGCAATAATGGGCTCAAGCAGAACAAACAATGATCGTCTGATACCTAAGAATCTATTACTAAATCATGCAGATTTACTCCTATCTTTTCTCTAAGAGTTTTATAGTTTTAACTCTTACATTTAGGCCTTTGATCCATTTTTAATTTTTGCATATGGTCTGAGATAAGGACCCAATTTTATTA